TTGATGCGGGGGGGGGGCGCGGCCAGGTCCCAGATGGACAAGGTGCTGGCCTCGCCCCCCACGATGAGGCTGCGCCCGTCCGGGAGGAGCTTGCAGGACCGGATGTAGTTGTCGCGGTTCTGGGGACGGAGCGGGAGCAGCGCCCATGAAGCCAGTCACTGCAGAGTGTGTGTGGGGGGCGATCTAGTGCCCCTCAAGGCTCAGGGGAACGTCTCCCCCGTCTGCAGACTTTGGTTCAGCCCCCAGGTGCCAGCCGCAGGCTGTGCCTGCCCAGTGCCACCTGTCCTGGGAGGAGGCGCCTGGGCCAGGCCTCAGTGGAGGTTGGTGGAATTCCCCCTGCAGGGCTCTAAACTTTTGCAGGCCCTGAAGCAATTTCGACCTTACTCCAAAGCAGTCCCAGGTCCCCACCTCTGCTGCCACCCCCAAGCTGACCCGTGTCCTGCCCACTGCCAGGGGGCTACAGCCCTTGGCAAAGCGGCCTGGGGGTCTTGGCTGTGTCAAGACCATGAGGGGCAGGACAATTAAATGACTCACCTGAGGCCACACAGAGAGTCTGTGGCAGAGCGAGGAACTAACCCCACTCTCCTGTAGCCCCGGCCAACTCCTTACAGAAGCCCATTGGTTGTTCCTGGCGATGGCCTCTGGCCTGTTTACCCTCCATTACGCTGTGGCATGGGAGGGACAGCAAAGCCTGCCCACCCTTCCTGCAACGCGCCCGGCCTGGCTGTGCGGAACCAGCCCTCAGGCTGGCACTGCAGCAGGCCTAGCCCTGCCACGCTTGGGCCACTGGCAGGGCCACCCAGGGCGTGAGGAATTGCACTGGACTGGGCATTTCCTGCACAGCTGGCTTAGGCCACCGGCTTCCGTCACGCGCCCCTCCCCTGGTCTGTGGCTCTGCTCAGGAGCCCAAACACCAGGGCGGTTCTGCACGTGGCCGAGCCTGAGCTGTTCCCCATGCTCAGGGACACCCCCAAGTGCTGCAGGGACGAGCCGTCACACCCCGCTGCGCAGCGCCTTCCAGGCAGGGCAGGCGCCGGCGTCGCTGGCGTGCTAATGAGCAGGGCCCCGGGGTAGCTCAATTATTAATGGCTTTTGCTTGTGACCAGGGTTTTCTAGCGGCGGAGCCATGCCAGGCACCGCTGCTCCCCGCGTCTTGAGGATGCAGCCGCGCATTCAGTGCCACCCCACCCTTTCACACCACTATGTGGGCAAGGCTCCTGTGCTGGCTCCGTGGGGAAACTGAGGCAGGGGACATGAAGGGTGGGCTTTGCACACACGCTCCTGGGGGAGCAGAGCGGGACCCACGCAGGGCCCAGCCCTCGGTGGGTGCAAGGCCAAGCCTAGGACCCACAGCAGGGGCCTTGGGAAGGTGCCACGCCAGCTCACTACACTGACAATCTCCAGTGCATAGCACCTGCCTTTGCGTCCCTGCAGCCATGGCAACCTCCCCACTAGGGACCTGGTCCTCAAGGGCAGCAAGGAAGCATGCTGGGTCCAGCAGAAGCAGCCTCCTCCCTGCGTCCCTGCCGGGCTAAGGACGAAGCCCTGACCCATTTCTGCAGCTCTGGTCCCGCACACC